TGGGACTGGGAGGGGACTGGGAGGGGATGGGCTCCGCTTCGGGGGGCGCCCCCCTGGGGGAACACGGGTCACTGGGGGGGACTGGGGGGGACTGGGAGGGGGAGCGTATTGGTTTATATACCAGTGGGTAGTGATCCATACTGGTCTATACTGGTCTATACTGGTGGGCACTGGTTCATATACTGGTCTATACTGGTTCCTACTGGTCTATACTGGTGGATACTGGTTCATATACTGGTCTATACTGGTCCCTACTGGTCCATACTGGTGAGCACTAGTTCATATACTGGTCTATACTGGTTGATGTGCCATCCCATACTGGTCCCTACTGGTCTATACTGATCTGTACTGGTCTATACTGGTTGATGTGCCACCCTGTACTGGCCCATACTGGTCTATACTGGTCCCTACTGGTCCATACTGGTGAGCACTAGTTCATATACTGGTCTATACTGGTCTATACTGGTTGATGTGCCATCCCATAGTGGTCCCTACTGGTCTATACTGGTCCACACTGGTCTATACTGGTTGATGTCCCACCCCGTACTGGTCCCTACTGGTCTCTGCTGGTCTATACTGGTCTATACTGGTTGATGTGCCACTCCGTACTGACCCATACTGGTCTATACTGGTATATACTGGTACGTAGTGGTTCATATACCAGTCTATACTGGTCCCTACTGGTCTGTACTGGTGGGCACTGGTTCATATACTGGCCCATACTGGTCCATACTGGTCTATACTGGTGGGTACTGCTTCATATACTGGTCTATACTGGTCTGTTCTGGTCTATACTAGTCTATACTGGTAGATACTGGTTTATATACTGGTCTATACTAGTCTATACTAGTTGATGTCCCACCCTGTACTGGCCCATACTGGTCCGTACTGGTCTATACTAGCCCATACTGGTTTATACTGGTCCATACGGGTTGATGTGCCACCCCATACTGGTCCCTACTGGCCCATACTGGTCCCTACTGGTCTATACTGATAGGGACTAATTTTTATACTGGTCTATACTGGTCTGTACTGATCTATACTGGTTGATGTCCCATCCCATACCGGTCCCTACTGGTCTATACTGGTCCATACTGGTCTATACTGGTCTGTACCGGTCTATACTGGTTGATGTACCACCCCGTACTGCCCCATAGCAGTCTATACTGGTCCATACTGGTTCCTACTGGTCTATACAAGTCCCTACTGGTCTATACTGGTGGGTACTAGTTCATATACTGCTCTATACTGGTCCATACTGGTCTGTACTGGTCTATACTGATAGGGACTAATTTTTATACTGGTCTATACTGGTCTGTACTGATCTATACTGGTTGATGTCCCATCCCATACCGGTCCCTACTGGTCTATACTGGTCCATACTGGTCTGTACTGGTCTATACTGGTTGATGTGCCACCCTGCACTGGCCCACACTGGTCCCTACTGGCCCATACTGGTCCGTACTGGTCTGTACTGTTCCATACTGGTCTATACTGGTGGGTACTAGTTCATATACTGCTCTATACTGGTCCATACTGGTCTGTACTGGTCTATACTGGTTGATGTGCCACCCTGCACTGGCCCACACTGGTCCCTACTGGCCCATACTGGTCCGTACTGGTCTGTACTGTTCCATACTGGTCTATACTGGTGGGTACTGGTCCCTACTGGTCCCTACTGGTCCATACTGGTCTGTACTGGTCCCTACTGGTCTATACTGGTGGGCACTGGTGACTCACCGCTCTCCTCCCCCTCCCCCTCCTTCTTGCTGCGCTTCGGCATCGCCTCAGGCCACGCCCCCTTCGGCACCAGGACACGCCCCCTTCGACACAAAGCCACGCCCCCTCCTCCGCAGGCCACGCCCCCTGCAATACAAACCCATACACCCTGAGGCCACGCCCCCCCACCCGCG